TGTGTGTGTGTGTGTGAGTGTGTGTGTGTGTGTGTGTGTGTGTGTGCTTACATCTGAGATCAAATTTGCTACAGTGAAAAAAACCCCTGTTGTGAAAAATTTCTCGCTGCAAACATGATTTCGTTGTAGAGGAGTTTCACTGAGTTTTTTTTTTTTCTCCTGAAGCCCATGTTAACCAGAGTCTGAGACAGAACCTCGGAGTCCCTGTGGGTCCGCGTGGACCTGAAAGCAGCAAAGCGGCATGTCAGTCATCGTCACTAAACGCTCGCCCGCCTATCCAGGTACCTCTGGCACCTGCCTCAACGTTCCAGAGGTAGGTTGTGATGAGCGGCTGCACCTCCACACCCATGACCTGCCCGAGCAGCGCCCTGCTGGACTGCAAGTGTAATGGGAATTTGACATATAACCGCGCTAAATGGAAGTAACTGTTCGTACTATTGAATGCTGACCGTACCTTTGAATGCTGAGCAGTTATTTTGCGGAGAAGCAAAGTTGCACTAGTCTGTACTCTGTTTAGCTGCTCAAAATACTGATTGCGCTGGCCTTCACCACCACCCAACCAGATAAAATGAGAGCGCAAGGCGCAGAGAAGGAGAAGGCTCCCTTTGACAGATCTGTGAACGGTGTCCCTCCATGTTTTTTTTTTCTTTCTTTCTTAAATAAATCTCATCATTTTTTTATAAATACGTTAGTTGTCTTGGTTTCCCTGGACAAGACACAAGTTCCCCTGGTCACGAGACGGGTCCTCACGCCTGGTCCTGACAGTCAGACTGGTCTTGCTGCTCTTAGAAAACAGAACCACAGTGAGTCCACTTGTACTCAGCACGTGTGAGAGTGCGAGAGGGGACCTCAAGTGGAAATCAATCTTGATATTTTGCTCAAGCTTGTTTGCCGAGTGCAGAAGAAGAAACAATCAGGCAATTACATATCAAAGGTAAACATGTATCGTATGAAGATGTCTCTTTTCAGAGGCGAAAGCAGTCAAAGCACGCGCACGCCAGCCATGCAGTTGGTTTTCTTTTCCGTCTAAAGGCCGACTTCCTTTTGAGGTCTTCTTAGTAAACATGTCAAAAGTGAAAAGTGCTGCGCGTGTGTGTGTGCGGATGATGACATTAGGGCGACCGCTGGAAAGCACGCGAAGGCTTTCTTCAAGTTCCTTGTTGCTTTCTGGCCTAGTCCAACTCACTGAGCCGGCTTCACATTTCGTCTGAAACTCATTTCTCATCCTGCATCTTCTTTGTGTCCACCACTGATGAAATCGCACCACAAACCTTGTCATTGCTTTCATGCACGCCTTTCTCCTATGATGATGATGATGATGATGATGATGATTTGGGTGTTAGCAGGCTTTTCAGCTTGTTGGTGTTTCCCCAAGAAGACGGAATCCAAAAGTGCGAATCAAAAGCAAGGTGGAAATTTCCCACTTTCGAAGAATTGCACTAAAAAGCGATGACGGCCGGCAACCTGGCCCACATCAGCGCTGTCGCCGTCCCCTTTAAAAGACGGCTGCGCACACATGCCCCTGACACAGCCGACAAATCGGGGACCTCCGACACCTCCAGGACCTGCAAGACCAACAGTAAGTAATTTCTCATTGGGTGATCGCGAAACCCAAACGATGACTGACTCTGTACTCCGACAGCAACTTGCTCGACGTCCGTATCGCTTTTCATCCCAGAGCAAAGTCAATGCGCGTTACATAATTCAAAGTTCGGCATTTCAAAATAAGAGCTAGAGAGTTTTCAAAACCAAGTTCTGGGAGGAAAGACAACTGATAGAAGATAGGGGGCAAGTAAAAGATTTCCAAAATGATGTTAAAAATGCTTTGAAAGAAACAAAGAAACCAATCATAAAAGAATTTGGTGTCATACAAAAGTGTGTGGAAAGCAACGTCTAAATGCGCTTTGTGTCATCAAACGGTTCCTTTGAAGCGGGTTCCTTGCGCTCGGAGACTTCCTCTTGCCTGACTCTGATGTTGGGATGCTCTTTGAGAGCTCACGCTTCAGTTTGACATAGACAGTGAACATTTCTTTCAATATTCACCACTGCCAAGTTTGACGAACACAAATGGCAATATTGCACTTTCCAGACCTCACGATTGGTTTCCTGAAGAAAGAATGAGTGAGGACCCTATGAAAAATGTTTAACGCTTGCTTTTCTCTGAGAATTTGGGAGATTCTGGATTCAAGGTTTCGACGGTGTCATATGCAAATCGAAGCAGGCATGCTCCAACTAAGTGTATACAAATGGCGAATGAGAATTTCTATGACGGCAGTGCAAATCAACAAATACAACAAGGATACTTGTTTTCAAATTAAAGCATTGTTTCGTTGCATATGGGAAAGTAAGACAGTTTTGGCAAAAGGTCGATCCCTTTGAATCCACGGCCTAGTAGTTGGAATGACAAGTGCGGTACAAATCATCATAATTTTAATCATAATTACAGTGACAACAAATAATTATTTTGGAAATAATAACAAATCACAAGTCATAATAATCTGAATTATTTTTTTGTCGACTAACATAGTCTAATCCGACGTTGCTGTTCATCAAAAATAATTTGATGAATCCAATCCACGTTTCCATATGAGTGCGCATGTTTTCATAGTGAGTGTTGTTGCATTAATTGTGAAACTAAAGAAGGCTTCCCGCCGCAGATGATGAAGATGACGAGTTGCCATGTCACGAGAGCGCATTTTTTTCCGTTAAAAACCACAATTTTCAAAAAGCGGAATCGGCTTCGATTTTCCCTCCCGAAACGCAGCGTCGGATCGTCCGCGGAAGTCAATGACGTCAAAGCGGAAAATTTGTGAGAGGAGGCTGCCGTGGGAGGAGATTGCCGGGGTTCCTCAGGGTTCATTGTCAAGTCCTCCCACAGTGGTGGGTCTTGCGGTCAAAGTGGCATGCGTCATGGCTAGTGCGGGCTAATAGCACCGTCAACGACGCAGACAAATGCAACTCAGCTATTCAGCTACTTTTCTTGTTCGTGTGTGTCGTTCTGTAGAATTGTTTTTCTGCCGAGTGAGAAAATGTATTCGCGCCTTGATTGGCCGTTCCTGTGTTGATCTATACCACAGACATTCGTGACAGGCAGAACAATTCAATGCTCCTCCACTAGGTGTCTCTACCTGTTGCCCTTGATCCAACCGAAGAATCGTTTTGTTACAACTGAACAGGCCCCGTTTTTACTCTCAGCAAATATAGCAAGGCCCTCTCCATTTACACTAGTGAAGTGAGTACATTGAAACCAAATCCTCGTCATTTCAATATGGATACTTTTTGTGACATTTTTGTTTGGTGGTCTGCAGAGAGAGATGTTTCTCTACAATGGGCATGTGTGACTCCCACTACCTGAGACAAAGTCCTTGTGTGCTTGAGCAAACTTGGCCCACAAAGAAAATGCTGATTCTGATCCTGACATTGCCGCTGGGTTCTTTGGGGTTCGGTCAGATAATCCTGGTGGCACTGTCAAATGCACTTCCCTGATAAGAACGCCAGCGAAGTTGGCCTGAAATTCGTTGCCGATTGTCCAGTCTGGTGGAGATGCATCCCCAGCTTCAGCTCTACCTCTAAAAGATGGCGGAGATACACTGACTCACCTGGTAGTGCAGATGCATCCCAGTCCTGGTCCTGGTTCAGACTGTCTTGAGGTTTGGATCGGGACCAAGACCGACTGCGGCTCGTGAGTCACGCGTGTACAAGCTCACTCCTGACATCCAGACAGTCTGCCCGATTTCCACAGCCTACCTCCACCTGCCAGGACCTTCTGAAGCATTATGACTGGATCCGTCGGGACCATCAGGACCATGTGGACCGCAAGTGTCGCCATTGTGGTGGTGCTCCAGCTGCACAGTGTCCATGTGATGACAGCGACCGTGCCAGCCTGCGGCCTCCCGGGAAACGTAGTTCTGGAAGCCCAGAACTTGCTCCGAGACCTGGTAGGTACCCACCTTAGAACTCTCACGTGCGTTCTTTTTTTTGTCATTTGGACCAACATGCTGTGACTCTGTCCCTTAGGGGCCGGCTTTTCCTGTCCGCAGCTGCCTTCCATATAACGGCAATGCCACCTTTCCTCGAAGAGCCTTCACCAATGGCACTCAGGTGAGCTCACATCTATCCCAAAGACGACCGTGAAATCACCGGCGTGACGTTGAGATTCTTTGAAAGTGAAAGAAACTGAAAACTAACTTTCGATTTGTACCATGTCACCGGAAGGACAAGTTTGAAGTTTAAAAAAAAACAAAAACACTCATTTGTTCATCGTGGCCGTCTCGCAGCATCACTGAAAAGCTGTTTGACCAGTAGAGCACCGTCCCATTGAATGCTATCTTAAAAATCAGCAAGTTGCCGGCGAATGCACCGAATACATCTCATTGTTCAAGACGCAAAAAAATTTTGGCTGAAAAAGGCGTGATAATAAAGGTGCTGCTGTGCCATTGTGGGTGTGCAGTGTCGCCAGGCCTTACGGGCACTTCACGAGTCGCTGCAGGGGGCGGAGCAAGTTTTTGAGGACTACGACGTAGCCCTCGGAGAAGGCGGACTTGCGTGGGACCGCCACATGCTGGACGACTTCCAGAACCTTCAGAACCGCCTGCTGCGGGAGGGCGGCTGTGTGAGTACCACCACCCCACCGCCACCTGATGGCTTTTGACTCTTCTGACTTGATTGACAGGCTGCCTCTCTTGTTGATCGCAGGTGCCCACAACTGCCGCCAGCCCTGATCCCGGCATGTCGGCCTACTTTGGCAACGTGAGCGCTCTTCTTCAGCAGCAGGTAATATTTATTTAATACCCTTAATTGAGTCAAGACACATAAACTCTCACGACACACCGTAAGGCACAAACGATATGCAGTGGTGCCTTGACAGATGAGATCAATTTGTTCCATGGCCACGCTCATAATTGAAAATACTCGTATCTCTAATCACCTTTTCCTATTGAAAGGTCTGAAAGTGCCATTCATCTGTTCAAGCGTCCCTCACAAAAAAAATTGTTTGTTTTTAATTTGAAAACAAACAAAAACACTGTGTTAATGTTACAACAGTGTCATAACATCATTCAATAGAATTTAAAGCATTCAGTCACCAGTTTTGTGTTGATGATTGAAAGCCGCAATCCAATTCAGTGTGCCTCTCCCACCTTGGCCACTGTGAGGCAGCAGTTTGTAATGCAGTCATACAGACATAAAGGAAGATAAAGACGCTCCTTCTTCTACTACTCACTTTCTGTCATCAGACATTTTTTCGAGGAGGATAAAGAATATATCCTCTACCAAGTTCAAATATCGTTGTCTCTCTCTCTGCCCAACCAGGAGAGCGCCACCTGTGGTTGGTCAGTGCTGCGGCGGGACGTGCTCTGGGTCCTAAACACAGCCCTCCACCGACACCACAGCTGCTTCAGCTGGTGACAGGAACCGCGACATTTATGATTACACGTCAATTATTTATATATTTATATTATTCATCCGACACTTTGTAATAAATATCTCTTTTGATTCGCTTCAAAATTGTGTCTTCTCTCCACGGGCACCCAGTGAGTCAGCTGCTGACTGAACTTTCTGAAAGCGAGTTATTATTTTTAGTCATCTTTCCAAATAGAAGAACTATGATGATGTGTCATCAATCAACATTTGCTGAGCAATCCACATTATCATCATCATCATCATTATCAGCAGCATTATCATCACTTAGTACAATCAAAAATGACATGCGATCAATCATGTGATCCCAGAGCCGTAGGGAACTTAACATGTGTGGCTGCACTGTGACGCGCTATTTTGCTGAGCCAGCTTGACATGACGTCACGATGCAACGCAACTGTCGATTTCTAAAATAGATATTTTCCACATCACAAGAAGTTAATGTGACGTTATCAGCAGGGCCACTTGGTGAACTAGAAAATGGGCTTCTATTGTGAAAATTATTATTAAGATGAAGTTGTTTTTTTTTTTTAACCAAGATCTGTCAAGTTAACATGATGATGATTTTGCAATCCACTTTAATGCGTGCAGTGTTCTCCTGTTTACGAAAAAAAAAATTTTCTCTTGTTTTTCTTCTCTTTTCTCACTTCCGGATAGGTAGAAATTCGATAGCCAATATACTGTAAATAGCCACTAGATGGCGCCAAAGCCACTGGCCGAGCAGAGTGGGAGCGCGCCTCCCTTGTTTTGGGACAACAATCGCGTGCATACTGTGTTGCGTGCCAATAAATTAATCCCAACGCGTGAATTCTTTGATGATTTTGATGGATTAATTTCTTGGAAATATAAAATATGTAATTATGATACCACACATGTGCCTCATTTTATAACCAAGGCTTTCATAACATGAAATTAATTAAAGTAAAACTAAATGCGTTTTCATTTTAAAAAGAGAAAGAATAGCAACAACAATGAACATGAACTTACATTAAAATTCTTATTTTTCCTTGCTATTGTTTTACAGCATGAAATTGATAAGCATAATTAAACGGTTTGAAAACAAATGTTTAAATTAAGGTCAAAATTGAAATCTACAGTATACTGTACGAGTCTTCCATTTGGGGTTATTTCCCCGGGACGGTGGACGACTGCTTCGCCCGTTCGCCTCACAGTGCAGTGTTCGATTCCGGCTACGGCCTTCCTGTGTGGAGTTTGCATGTTCTCGCCATGCCTGTGTGGGTTTTCCCCTGGTACTCTGGTTTGCCCTCCACATTCCAAAAACATGCATGGCAGGTTAATGGAACACTCCAAATTGTCCCTAGGTGTGATTGTGAGCGCGGATAGTTCGTCTATGTATGACCAGCGATTGGATGGCAGGCAGTTCAGGGTGTACCCCGCCTACTGCCCGAAGACAGCTGGATAAGCACGCCTCGTCTGGATAAGAAGATCAGATAATTTCTAAGTCCGATTTCAGAGGTGTCATGCGCCTCAAGGCGCGTTACGCTCAGGACCCGCAAAAAACGGTTCCGTTTACACTGAAGTAACGATTTCCGGTTTGTGTTCGTATGTTGAAGTCCTGGACGGATGTGGTATGTGACGTAATGTATAGCTTGATGCCCGTCTCGAGTGGCGGCGACCGTAGAGCGAGAGCGAGAGCGAGAAAGAGAGAGAGAGAGAGAGAGAGAGAGAGAGAGAGAGAGAGAGAGAGAGAGAGAGAGAGAGAGATTCTGCCAGCGAGAAGGAGAAGACGAACAAGTGGCGCACGGGCGAAGGAAAAGTTCCCGAACAAGCTTGAATTCGTCGTGAGTTGGGCGGCGGAGTGTAAGGTGAAAGTTGAGTGGCGTTTGGCGGGAGAGGGACGGCGAACGATCGACAGTTTGACGAGAATCCACGTCGGGAATGTCGCCTGGCTTGTGGGAGGCTTGAGCCGTTCCATGGCGGCCGAAAAGGTACGAATAACTTGCTTTGCACTCCCCGTAAAAATAGGCGACGACAACATTTCCAAACTATTGGGCCACCAGCTCGCTTCGAACTGTTACAACGTGCCCACACTGACATGTCCGCTTAGGTTAGGACGATACACCGCCCCCCCACCACCTCCAAAACACCACCACTCCCTCCCCCATTCCTCCCTGTCCTCCTTCCAGCCAACTCTGCTTGCTGATCATCTTGACACAATCACCTCAAACATAAATACAGGTCTATGCGCTTTACGGACGCAACACGTAGACAAAAATGAAAATATGATACTGTGTGTGTGTGTGTGTGTGTGTGTGTGTGTGTGTGTGTGTGTGTGAGCAAGCAAAGCAAAAGTGCTTGGTGGGTGCCGAATTCCCCTTGGAAGTGTTGACACTGGTGAAGAATGTGCCTTGTGTGTGGCTTGTGTAAGCAGCAGAAGCTTCAAGTGGAATATTTCTCGTAGGACTCTTCTTGCAGCACAAAGCACTTGATGTCTTTCGTTTGCGACTGTCTGGAGGCTCCAGTGCCGGAAAGCGGGACAAAAAAATGGAGCAACGTTGACGCCTGCTAACGGGAATGACGGGCCGGCTTGACTCGACACACGACTCAACTCAGCGCTTACGAAACGTGAACAGCTGGGAATTGCGGCGTCAAAGCTTGCCCAAACAAATGCGTGTTGACCGCAAGTTTGATGCAGCCAATAGGAAGTTCCTGCACTCCGGGATCATCTGCAATTGAGGAACCATCAGAACCACAAGTGCCTATATGTCAGCTGATTGGCTGTCAAGCTTGGCAGGATTTGACGACGGCATCTGCCGGAAGGTTCGGAATTTATTGGATCAACATAGCATTCGTGTCCAACGAGCCAATCAGGGTGCTCAGATACTTCCGAAACTTCATGTGGGAACTTCACATGGATTTCGTCTGCTCAGCGCTGCTCTTGCAAAGGGCAGCAAAACTGTCAAAAAGGTCACCATGGTTTTGGCCATTTGTGAATTGCAATCCGAATGCTAATACAAAATCGTTGATAATAACAAAGCAGCATCCGTACTTGTGAGCTGATGAGGGCCAAAAAACTTTCTGTCACTTGGCATGATGTCATGATGTCATCATATGGCGCAGGATTTTTTTGTCATCCAAAGAATGAGGCCATAGTGTTCAATGGATGATGTCATGACCTCACTTCATTCAACACTATGACATCATGCATTCATGCCATGACATCATGGTGGTCAACTGATGACATCATGGCAAAGAAAGGATGATGTCATCCAATTTACGCCATAATGTCAATCAGGGATTTCAATTGCGTTTGAATTGTTGAAGGCAGCTAACATGGCCAGCCCTGACTTAATTTTTTTCATTAAAAAAAATGTTTATTGTTATTCTCAAATTTCAGCGTTGAAGCTTTGGAGTCTTGCCGTGATGTCGCGCTAAGGCGGCGGCGACGGCGGTTGGCGCCGCTGTGACGTGAGCAGGATGGGGAAGGAGCAGGACCTCCTGCAGGCGGTGAAGAGCGGCGACCTATCATCCACGCACAAGCTTCTGGCCAAGCTGAAGACCAGCAGGAGCAGTAAGTTGAAACCTTCACCTTGTTAGCATCGTACTGGAACTGTCATTCCAAACTCCCAAATATGATGTCAAAGTGTGTTGTCCAAGTGGAGTCGGAATCCCCCCGTGGCTCGCAGATGGCGCCCCGCCAGGATTAAGGAATTAGCATCAGGGACGAGTGGCAGGGGGAGGAGTTTTCCGGCTGACTTTATCAGATACCCCGTCACCTGAACTTTGCAATATTTTCACTTGCTAAATTAGGGCTGGGGAAACTTGAATGCTGAATTCATTCACTGCCATCCCTTTTCAAGAGCTCGCGTCCATTCACTAGTCGAAAAAGTCACAAGTGCTTGACAGGCCAAAAATTGGTCAAGATGGAGGACATCCCCTGAACTCAACCTCCCTCCCCCATCCGGGTGAGGGAAGCATCACAAAAATGCAAATAAAGCCTGAGAAGAGAATCCAGATGGAGAGACTCCGCTTCCAAGATGACCAGGCTGCATGTCCTCTCCCGGTCTCTCGATGCGGAATCCAGGGAAAAGCGGCCTCAGGTTTGGTCGTTGCCACCTTAATGTGGTGAGGAGAGCCGCATTAAGGTGGAAATCAGATGCCTCCGCCTGTGTCTCTGACATAATGTTTCAAAAAGTTAGCCCACAAGCTTTGAAAAAAGCAGTACGAAAACAGATATGTTGCAACAGGCTCACAAATAAGCGCAATGAGGTCATCAAGATTGCTCTGGCCGCCGGCATTCGGAGACAAGCCAAAAAAGAACAATTAACGAAGACTAGAGTTGGAGAAGGTTGGGGACGCCTTCTTAAAAGGGCGCCCGTCATGTCACTGTTTGTTTGTTTTGGCATCATCTGTCATCCAGTCCTTTCTCGATGTCAATCGATAAACATTCATGTAATACTCTCGCCGGCTTCATTCGTGTCTCAAACGGCAAGAAACAAGTCAAACGTTCGGGTGACACATTGAGATCCTCCATACCAGCATGACTTGAAGCAGAGTAAGAAATCATCTGCGGAGATTGTTTTAATTTCATTACCGTCACCGTCTTGTGGCCAGTAGAGGATCTCATCATGTGAGCGGGCTTCCGCGTAATTCCAAACATCTACGACTTTTTTCAGTTGCCGTTCACTGCACCGTCGTCTTCATCCATTGTTCTCATTGGACGTTCTCCCATTTAGCTCCGCCTCCAAGCGTTCGCTTCACTTCTGTCAACATGTTAGCTGGTTCGCTTGCGGGAATGGCATCGGGCTGCGCTGAGGTGACGTGTCGCCACTCGTCTCTCGCTGACATTCTTTTCGTCTTGGCTGAGAGAGAATGAACAAAGATCCCCTCCCACGCAGGCAGCGGGGGACTTAGGGGGGCCCCGGGGCTCCTAGCCGGGTCCATGTTCTCTCCACACGCGACGCCGGGATAGTTTGAAGAAATTGGGGCGGGACCCAATTGCATGGAGAACTTGCATACGAAACCCAAATGTACTAGATGAATTTCCTTCCTGGATGTTGTAGTCTCAAATGGAGCGCACCATCTGGAGAAACATTGAGTACGCTCCATTTTCTCACCCGCACGTCTCCCTTGTTTGTGGAACGGGCATTTTGTGGCTCCCAAGATTCAAATGACACTTTTTGGGATTGTTGCTGGACTTGTAGAAGAAGCGTTGGACTAACGATGACACTGAGCAAGTGTGACGTTGTCGCTCGTCCCGTGGTGCCTTGCTCGTCTCCTCCTTGCCCTGGGGGGCGCTCGCCCGTGACGTCGCCCTCCGCCCGCCTGTACACGCTTTGTCTTGTCCTGGGCCGCTTTCAAGGCTTTTCATGTACGCATCACTGCTCACACGACCTCATCCATCTCCGCGTGCGTACGCGCGCATATGTGAGCGTGTCCGCGCACGTGTACGTGCTTGCCTGTGTTGGTTTGCACGCGCATGAGTGTGCGTCTGTGAATGTATTTGTGTTTGTGTGCGCGCAAGTGAATGTGTGTGTCAGTGTGTCAGTGTGTGCAAGTGTGTCTGCGTCACATTATGTGAGTAGGTGATGATGTCATCGTGTTGGTGTATGAGTTGACACCTTGCATTGTCTATGCGGAGTTGGGAATTTTGCTTTAGTGTGTGTGTGTGTGTGTGTGTGTGTGTGTGTGTGTGTGTGTGTGTGTGTGTGTGTGTGTGTGTGTGTGTGTGTGTGTGGTCAAACATCAGCATGCAAGTGAGACATTCCACAACGCTGGTGTCTGTTTGCTAGCTTCAGCAGCGCTGTAGTATGGCCCAAGTGGCGAGCTGTCCTCCTTCTTCCCACACGTTCAAGGAGGAGAGTTTCCAGTTTCGAACGTGAGTCCTGTAGAGGTGTGGGTAATTGTAATTGAGTCTGGAACATCAGACGAAAGGAAGGTTGTTGGATGGTGTCCGTGAGGGGCGCTTGTGAGCAAGCAAAGCAGGAAGTGCTCCGTGATTGGGGGCTTCCTGTCGGCAGGGAACAATAGCGTCGCGGATAGCACGTGTGAAGGTTTGCGAAAGGAGGCGGCCGACATACGCCGTCGGGGTCAGGAGCGGGTTGCGCCCGTGACCGTGCGCCACTTTCCTGAGCCGCTTACGCTTCGACGCACGCATCCAATCAGAAGAAACCTTTCTCGGGAGATCATTTCGAACGTCTTGGTAATCATTCACGCGTTTCGTAGGCATTAGATGATGGCGGGTGATACAGTGAAGCTGGATATTTCCTCCACTAAAAGTCGCCGGCTTCACCGGCGCGTGCATCCACGTTGTCATTTTGTCTGATATGGAAATGACTAAATAAGCACGGCATGGACATTTTGATAGAATCTGGTAATTTGCTTCCTCTAGTTATCGTCGTTCGCTCCTTGCGGACTGCCAAGGGATTTCGAATGGACGTTTTTGGGAACGGTCGAGGTCTGAAAGTTGAAGAGGCCCATCCAAACGGTCTGCTAATTCTGCTCCATCCTCAACCATGTCTTGCGAAAATGGCAAATATTTCACCAATTCTGCAATTCTGCCAAGGGATGTCAACTTCGGGGAACAACTGTATCGCTTTTTCAACATCAAATCTTCCCCACCCCTGCACCAGGAGGTACCAAGAGGCTCCAGGAGGGAGTAAAGTCTGCTCTTAGGGAGGTTTTGTGGCAGTCATGGTTGCAAGCATGATGAAGCCACCCAGTCCAAACAAACCTTTCGAAGGAGGGGACAATGGTGTGAGTGTGGCTTGGCCAACATGGACGGCGCTTTTTCCTCCACTTGCAAGTTTTGCTTCACACGCCAAACGGGGTCCTGGCTTCGGACGTTGAAATGAGCTCTCTCGACCAGGTCGACTCGTGTGAGACCAACGAGGTGTGAAAGGGTTTTGATTGGAAGCATTTTGCCAGCGTAGACTGTAATGATAGCGTGATGGTCCAAGTGCGCCTCTAATTTTAGTCCTCTGCATTCTTGTGGTGCAAGTTTTTCTTGCGAGCAGCAGGAAGGAAGGAAGGAAGGCAGGCAGGCAGGCAGGCGCAGGAACGAGCAAGCGACGCAGTGTAAGCTCCTTCTTCTACTGCCCGACTCTTGGGCTGCAAACACCTTTCAAAATAAAAGACAATTCAAAATAGAGTCAACCTAGAATAACTCAACGGGAGGGGGGAGGATACATTCTACACACTACCGCCATGTCAAATTGATAGTTTGATCCCTCACGCACACTTTGAACACATTTCAACGAGAGATAGACTGTTTATTGGCTTATTGACGGATATCAGAATCAGCCTGGGTAAAGGTCATGGAATTATTTAATCATGAGAATGAACTTTGTAAATGATGCTGCTGAGCCTGCCAGCTTAACCCGGTAGAACTTAAAGATGTGTGAGAAAGATTTCAATGACATGAATCCCCCCCCCCCCCACACACACACACACACACACACACACACACTTGATCTTGGGAGGGCGGAGCTTAAATGCTCAATCAAGAGACTGATCGGAGTGATTAGAAGAAGAGAAAGAAAAAAAAACATGGTGGCGGAGTGGAGCACGATTGCACGCAAGCCATCTTTGATGAAGAGGAGGAAGAGAGCGCGCTGCTGTTTTGGGGGTTCATTAGGAAAAGCGGGTCATGCTTATCAAACCAACACGAGCGCATTACCGCAGGGAGCCCCGCACGCTCCTTTCTCGACGTGCGTGCGTGCCAGCATATTTTTTTCTTCTTTTTTTTTTTTTCTCCTCCCTGTAAACTTCATCTGCATTGGCGCTGTTCCTCTCGATTGGTCGCCCTTGTGTTGTGTTTGAGTTCCAGAAGATTCACTTTGCTTTTCTCTGGCTTTTGTTTTTGCAGAACTTTTAGGATCCACAAAGAGACTCAACATTAACTACCAAGACGCAGACGGGTATTTGTACACACACACACACACACACACACACACACGCACACACACACGTGTGACACAAAGTCCGTCTGTCTACCCATACCCATCTGGCCGTTTGTCTTGGGGGGGTGACTTTGTTGGCATTCAAGACCATAGTCTGGTTCCAAACTCAAGATAGCATTTGCTTCTTTTTTTTCAATGAGGGTTTCAAGACTGGATTTGGCTTCCAATGTCAGTTTAGCCTTTCAACTTTCAATGAGGTTTTGAGGGGAAAAAAAAAAGAGTTCCAGGCCTTGTGGTCAAGAAAAAGTGAAATAAACGAAAATGAAGAAGTCAAGCTCGAGAAGCACCAGCAGTATGAGCTTGAAAAGACAAGGCGGAGTGTGACGCAAAACTGGTTGACGTCCGGAAAGCAGTTCAATCCAACTTCTCGCAAAGAGATAGTGAAGAGGAAGTAATCACTGCAATCAAGAGAAAGCAGGGCTTGCCTGTGACAGAGCTCATGCAAGCACCCATCATTGCGATCAATAAAGACACCGATGAACTACAGCTGGAAGAAGTTGAGGAAGCTTGTCCGTGGTGCACTTGCAAGCCTGAAAGACTGGGAAAGATGGATTCCACCTGATCAGACAGCATTCCTGGAGAGCAGAATAAAGGACATAAAAGCTTTCCGGAACGAAGCAAAGGCAGGGGGAGAAGTAAAGACGTTGCAACTCCTTGACAACGTGAACGAGAGAATATGCAAAGAGCCGCGCCGGTCAACATGCAACAATGTTGAAGACATGTTTAGAGTACTTAAACAATCGTCTTGGAAATAAGTGAAGACATGGAGAGAATTCACCCCCTCTAAAGCCACATCACCCAAGGAAGAGCTAATTCAAGCTGTAAAAAAGGCCCTGAAAAAAATGAGGAGAAGCCTGCTTATCTGGAGAAGTATGCCTCCACCGAGTCTGTCGGGAGAGGAGGATGTGTTGTCTGCGCAGATGAAAAGCTCTGTGACAAAATCTTCTCTTGCAAGCGGTTCAAAGAAGTAAAGCCGAGCTAGTTTGGAATTGGGGAGGAGGATTGAATGATTGGCGAGCGAAGTGGCTGCGTTTATCTAGCGGCCTATCAACCAAAAAGAGTTCGCCAGCTCCTCGTATCACCGTGGTGACCGAGACACATTCCTCAAGGGTCTGCATGACAACAGGTCACCATTTACCCCATCACCTTAACCCCACTTTACCCTCAGCTCTTCCATCCAATTAGATGGCTTACATTTGACAATTCACCTGAAGGGGCGGGGCCTGGCCAAAGTGTGTCAGGCATTGTTTGCTGATGGGCGAAACACGTTCCCCCGTTCCTCCCCCAATCATACACTGAGCGGGATTTTCACAGGTGATTGTGTGTGTGTGTGTGCGAGTGCGCGCGTGTGTGTGTGGGTGTGTGTGCGCGCGCGCTATTAGTGGCACTTTTGCCAGCGGCCGACTTTGTTGCCGTGGCCACATGAATGGTGATGTTATGCAACAGCGCCTTTTGTCCTGTCAGGTCACATGTCCTCGGCTGCGCCGGGTCCACGCGGGTCCACACACACACACACACACACACACACACACACACACACACACACGCACACACACACACTCTTGCACTTATGACATCACTCAGTGTCATTTATATATTGACCTCTATGGTGTTGTTATTGACTCATTATGCACGGAGCTCTTGTAACATGTTTTAACGTGTGCATGTGAGTGCATGTCACTCACCTTCCAGTCCAAAAACCCCCTAAAAAAAAATCCACCTGGAATTTTTTCAAGGTGTGTCTGCTTCGTGGCTTGGATTTCAAAATAAGAAACAAGTCAGAGACATTTTTGTGGGGATGAACAGCATACTTTAGGGCTGAAACTAACAATTCTTTTTTAAAAATCAGTCCGACTTGTGATCATGTTTTTCATGAATCGGATGAAAGCAGTCAATTCAATATCCATCCCTTTCTTCCAAAATAGGGCATGATTGGAAACCAACAGGGCAGACATTGTACATAAATTGATGATTCGCTTCCTGCTTTCATCCATCAAAAACGGATAATCGTGTTCCAAAATTAAAAGCAGACACTTCCAAACGCTTTTTGACAAAATGCAAAGCTTATCAGTCTGTTTTCTCGAAGAACTTGAGAGGTCAGAATGCTTGCTGCTGAGAGGATGAATTTGCCAGGATTGAAGTTCAACAAGGCCTTGAAATTATTGATCCATGATCGAAATAGTTGTAACTTTTTGTGACTAGTGTATTTATCTGCACTCTTGATGAAATGAACGACGAACAAAAGTGAAACAATGAGTTCAGTGAGTGTGTGCCAGGTACATGTGTAAGTGCACCGTACCTGCACATGTGCATGTGTGTGTGCAGGCGCACATGCAGACGCATGCATGCGTTGGAGGACGAGGGCCTGCAAGAAAGCTTAGAAGTCGATTGGTGGAAAGTGAGACGGCAACTTTTGTTTTGAAGGGCTGATTTGCTGTTTGGTTTGTTTTTGTTGGGCAGCTTCTCTGCGCTACATCATGCCGCCCTAACGGGCAGCGCTGAGCTGTTGGCGGCGCTGCTGGACGCACAGGCTGTCGTGGATGTCAAGGACAGCAATGGTAAGACCGCACACCTCCTCTTCATCAGCAGCATCATCAACTTTAGCTAAAATCACACTTGTGTCCGCTTGCGGTTTTTGCAGGCATGCGTCCGTTGCATTACGCGGCGTGGCAGGGTAAATCGGAGTCGGTCCTGATGCTGCTGCGCTCTGGAGCGTCCGTCAACGGCATCTCGCTGGACGGACACATCCCTCTCCACCTCGCCGCGCAGTACGGACACTACCAAGTGGTGAGCCAGCCAGTGCCGCCTTGTCCTGGTCCCACCCACCGCTAAGCTCCCCGACTGAAAGAAAGCCCTCTGCTGCCGCTTTCAGTCGGAGATGCTCCTCCAGCACCAGTCCAACCCATGCCTGGTCAACAAGGCCAAGAAGACGCCGCTCGACCTCGCCTGCGAGTTCGGACGCCACAAGGTCAGCGTGTGTGTGTGTGTGTGTGTGTGTGTGTGTGTGTGTGTGTGTGTGTGTGTGTGTGTGTGTGTGTGTGTGTGTGTGTGTGTGTGTGTGTATGATTGCCCGCAAAATGCTCGTCATTCAGTGGTCGTGCCTTGAGAGTGAGACCATGTAGTAGACCAAGATAGTTCCTCCACGCAAAATCCCTTCGTGGCGATTGAGGAGTCAGGAGTATCGAATGACTTGTGGTCGGTCGCGTGTCTGTCAGGTGGCCCAGCTGCTTTTGAGTAGCAACATGGTGGTGGCGCTGTTGGAGGGAGAGCGCAAGGAGCCCAGCGACTCGGCCTTCACCACGCCGCTGCACCTCGCCGCTCGCAACGGTCACAAGGACGTCATCGGGTGAGTGCGTTACTGACCACCACTCCCTTCTTTAGCTACATGTGGCCGCTCCATTGGTTGCCAATATGTGCCTGGTATATCCCGCCGCTCGCCTGATTTCAGGCGGGAAATGAATCAATTAATTTGCCTCACACATGCTGGCTAGTCGCTCTGTCTAAAGAATAAAAGCTTAGTGTGTGCTCTGCGCGTGCGTGTGGGCAGGTTGCTGCTGAAGGCGGGCATCGACATAAATGCCACAACCAAGTCGGGCACCGCCCTGCACGAGGCCGCCCTCTACGGCAAGACCGAGGTGGTGCGGCTGCTGCTTGACGTGAGTTCGCTGGCCCGCCCACCGACTGTGTGACGGCCACGTGCTAACGCGTCTCACTTCTAGCGCCGCGTCATCTACTTCGACTCCTTCTCTTCCTGCGTGTTTCTTTTTCAAGCGGAGTTGTCGGGCTGCAGGCGGCCTGACCCACTTTGCTGCTGCTTCAAACGCTCCTCACAACTCTGTGTGTGTGCGCATGTTTGTGATGTGTGTGCATCTGCGCTTATGTGTGTATGTGTCCGTGTAGGCCGGCGTCGACGTGAACATCCGAAACACGTACAACCAGACGGCACTTGATATCGTCAACCAATTCACAACCTCACACGCCAGTCGTGACATCAAGCAACTGCTCAGAGGTGTGTGTGTGTGGGGGGCGGGGGGGGCAGGGAGTAGCTGCTTCTGTTATGATGAGTGTGTTGTGTCAACCTGCTTTGAATGTTATCTGACCTGTTGAGCGCTGAGGTCATGGTGAGGTCACTGTATCCTCGTTTGCCCTGCAGACGCGACGGGGGTTCTGCAGGTGCGAGCGCTGAAGGACTTGTGGAACCTTCATGATCCCACTGCCCTCAACATCCGCGCCGGAGATGTGATCACGGTGAGCCGACTGCTCCGCTCTCCGGAGCAAGCTCAGCTCAGTCCTGAGACAATTTGACCCAAATTGAAGAGAACCGTCCCCCCCAAAAAGCAGATACACTTTTGTTTATTTTTTTTGCAGTCGGGTCCAAAAAGACAATGTGAAGACATGTGAACATGCTTTTCCATCTGATTGTACAAGTTGAGTTACAACAACAATAGTCCATGTGTGACTTTAAGGGGTGTGGCCTAGCCAGTGACATCAGGAACCGATTAGCCCGTTAGTGTATGAATGTGGCTCTCCTTGCCCACCTGCCACAGCATCACATGGCCTTAACCGGGCCGTTTGCCTTTCCTTTGACTGGAGCGGTCACTTACACACATGGACAAAAAACCCGCAGTGATCACAGAAATAACTTGAATGTGACAAATGGAATAATTGATAAAAATGTCACAAAACTGAACCAGCAAAAATGACACATTGCTTTGGAATTGTGGATCGACAGAAATCTTTGAAAAAAACAAACCAATGAAAGTTACTCATAACACATCGATTTTGCCTCGCAACACGGAAGCAAACAATGTCGCAAGTGAGGGCTTGTGTGTTGGCAAACTCGTAAGTGGAGGTCAAAGCTGGCGTGCTAGTACAGATGCTAAGCTAACGTTGTGGCGGCAGGTTTTGGAGCAGCATGCCGACGGGCGCTGGAAAGGTCACATCCACGACAGCCAGCGGGGGACGGACCGCGTGGGCTTCTTCCCACCTTCCATCGTCGAGGTCATCAGCCGGCGTGCCGGTGAGTCCCGAGGATGACGATGTCATCACACCGTCCCGCAAACCAAGCGGATCGTACCAATCATTCCGCATGCTTCCTGCATGCCCTCCTCATCACCTTTGACCTCGCACGAAGTGTTTCCCAAACACAACTGAGCTACGGCACATATTTGACACCAGAAAAATCTCACAGCACACTAAATGGCACAAATAATAGATACAGTCCACCCTACCAGCGATGAGTGAAGGTCAAAAGACCATATATGGTCAAAAACATTTTTTTTCCAAATTGTTTATAAATTAGGGCTTTCCTGTGTACTGTCAAAAGCCCTAAAAACAAAATTAAATTGTTTTGAAAGGGTGCAAATGATAAACTGCTCCGGTTACATGTGCATTATTTTTATTATGAGGTTTTTCCCATATCAAAAAAAATGTGCCTTGGCCAAGTTGGGGTCATGAAGCAATCCTCTAACGGGCCGTTTGATTGGCCTCCCCCACTGCGTTTCCTCATGTTCCCCTGTAGGGGGCACCGTCTCCCGGCACGCCTCCCTCCCCGCTCGACGCCGGTCCAGAGCCGCCCTGTCCGGCGGCCTCAACTTATCCCCTCACGGCGACGACTCCTACTCCCTGTGTGCCCCCCCAGCCCCAGCCGCAGGTACGCATGCGCCCGATGCAGCCGTAGCGCCAACCGTGCCGCCACCTGTGTCCAGCCAGTCTCTTTCTCAAAATCCTTAGTCCATCTCTGAAAAGTAATTATCGGTGTCATTCAACAAGTCAGTGCCATCAGATTGACAACCTTTTAGGTCATTTCGAACGGTTAAGGCTGTCCGATTGCTTAGTGATGTTGTGGACAGAACAGTGTACTCTGGAGGGCTGTTCTGAACTATATTTTAGATGACCTTTAAACGACATTGTTATTCACACCGTAGTAGGTATGTGAAGTGCAGAAATGAAAAGACAGCACTGCATTGCACAAAATGACCTGACCCTCTCTGGCTTTTGGGCCACCAATCGTCATCCAGGATGAGCCGTTCCGGAAAACTGGCTGATCAATGGTTGATCACATGCGTGCTGCATTAGTTGCGCCGACATCAAGTTGGCGGTCTAGTAGGTCATGCGAGCGCACCTCAGTCTTTGGGAACTCAGTGTGTTGTGCCCCATTCAGGAGACCGCAGCAGCGTGGGGAGTAGCGAGAGCGTGGGCAGCACGCGCAGTGCCGGGAGCGGCCAGAGCACCGAAAGCAACAACAACACGCTCAACAACAACAACACGCTAAGCCACGCACACAACGGCATTGCCGCTGCTGCCGCTGCTGCTGCTGCGGGTCACCATGAAAACAAGGTACACCTGCACACCCTTGGCTCATCATCATCATCATCATCATCATCATCATCATCATCGTCGAGGCAGGATGGCTTTCAACTTGCCTTTGCCTTTGTAGCCAGCGCCCCCTGCTGCTGAATGTGGAGCTTCGCACTCGAGCAAGCAGCCTCAGCACCACGCAGGTTCCCCACCGGCCTCAGGCACACTCTTTGTTCTCCACATCCTCCTTCTTCTCTTCTTTCTTCTCTTTACATTCTCCTTCCACTTTCTCTCGATGTGGTTCCTCTTTCTCTTCTTCGTACTCTTTTTCTTCCTCATCCTCCTCTTTCTCCTTTTCCTCCTTGTCTTCCTGCTGCTCCGCTTCACCCTGCGGGTCTTCACGTGATCCTTTCCTCTGGCTGCACTGTGTTCTTTTACCCTCTTGTCACCTTTTGCTGCCCTGCGTGCAGGTTCTGTTGCATCCCGCAGGCCAGTGGCTGAGCAGACCTTGACCCAGCAGCAGTTTTTTCGTCCTCAGCAGCTGCTGGACGGCAAGGTAACAGATTATACCCAGTACGATTATGACGATGATAATGTTGATGAGGACGAAAATGAGGTAAGCGGTTTTTGGTATCTTTGTCACGTTTGAGGATTCCGAGGCCATCTTCGAGTGGCTGAGTGACTTCCAGTTGGAGCAATACGCGGGGAACTTCATCACTGCTGGTTACGATGTCCCCACCATCAGCAGGATGACGCCTGAGGTCAACAAAGTCTTTCCTGTTTTCTGGGTTGAGTTTTGTGCGAGGGAGAGGTTATGTTTGATCTGCAGTCCATGACGTTACTCGCTGGTCACTGACACTTCAGATGCGTTACTAGTTCAATATTCTTACTGATCTGTCAAGATAGGAGCTAGTTCATGACTGTTATTGACGTGTCAATAACTGGCTTTCAGGATCTGACTGCCATCGGCGTCACCAAACCGGGACACCGTAAGAAAATCTCGATGGAGATCAACAAGTTGAACATTCCTGAGTGGCTTCCGGAGTACATGCCGGTGAGGAGAGTCCACATAACGGCCCAGAAAACCTCTCGCAAAGTGTCAAGCGTGACCCGAGTGCGCTTGTGTTGCAGTCGGAGCTCGGCGAGTGGCTCGGCGCCATCGGCCTCCCGCAGTACCTGAAAAGACTCTCGGAAAACGGCTACGACAGCATTGGCATTGTCAAAGACCTGACGTGGGAAGACTTACAAGAGATCGGCATCACAAAACTGGGTGAGGCCCCTCACGCCGTGAGGCATACGCTTTTCCTGTCTTGACCGCATGCATTTTGCCCGCAGGCCACCAGAAGAAGTTGATGTTGGCAGTGAAGAAGCTGTGTGACATCCACCGGGCCATCGTTCAGGCCGAGTCCGGCCAGGGAACGTTACGGCGCAAAGCTCCGGGCGCGCTGCACGTGGTCGCCATCGAGCCGCCGGACGCCGGCGGGGAGTGCTCGTCCCCCCGCACTCCGAAGACCATGATGACCTTCCAGGACAGCGAACTGAGCGTGGAACTGCAGTCGGCCATGTCCGGCCACTATGCCGACTGTGAGGATGTCAGGAATGCAACGGCCTCGTCCCACGGCCGGGACGGCATGGACGCTCAATCCCGAGGCTCCGGACGTTCTCAGGAACCCCCCACTGTCTCCGTCAACGCCCACAGACTGTCCCAGGAGAGCCTGGACGGCAGCCCTGCCAGTGACAGGAACGTCCCAGAGGGCTGGGACCAGAGGCCGATCCACAAGCTGGTTCCCCTGGGAACGGCGACTGTCTTCAAGTACCCCGCCGTCCCCGCCAAACCCAAAATGTCCCGCTCTCATGGCTCATCTCCTCACGGCTCACCGGCTTTGAAGGGCTTCAGCTACTTGCATTCTCACTGTGGATCCACTGACTCGTCCGCCGGATCCCAGGAGCAGGGCCGGACTCTGGTGCTCCCCAAGAAACGAACCTACAGTCTGAACCGCTACGCTCTATCAGACGGAGAACCCGACGAGGACGACGAGGAGCCAGCACGTCCTTCTGGAAACGTTCCTTCGTACGCCACCATGAGCCGCAAACTTGGCCGTGCTCAGACAGCTCGGATGCAGTCTGGTCTGGAGAAGAGCGTCCACGTAGGCCGCAGTCAGTCTTTTGCCGTACGAGCACGGAAAAAAGGACCCCCGCCGCCGCCTCCCAAGAGACTGAGCTCAGTGAGCAGCACAACCAGCGGCGAGTTGAGCGACAGCAGCACCGCATCGTCATCCGGCGGTGGCGGCGGCCTGGTGACCGACAGCCGAACTGTGTCGTTGGGCAGCATTACGACCGACGGCGGTTCCGTGTCATCGTCGTCGGCCGGCAGCGTGGTGACCGACAGCCCGGGAAGTGTCAGGAGCATCGCGGCCTCCCTGGAAGCAAGTGCAGAAACTCCAAACCCTCCGGATCCCAAACGTGACCCTGATCCACAGGCGCCGCCTGCCACTGAAACCAAAGACACCCCGGGGGTGAGGAGAAGGACGCAGAGTGCGCACGAGCCAGACCTAGGCGGAAAGTCGGACACGGAAGAATCTGACGCCAAAAACTCGCAGTCGCCTCACAATAGCTCCAGTGAGTGCATCCCCTTTGCCGAGGAGGGAAACTTGACCATCAAGCAGAGGCCTAAAGCTGCGGCCCCGGGACCTCCCAGAGCCGAGGCCGCGTCCGACAAAGCTGCCGCCGCCAAGAGCCTGGAGGTCCCCGAATTCAACTTGAAGGAATCGGACACGGTCAAGCGGCGACACAAACCCAAAGACAAGGACGAAGGATCCCCCTGCAAAGAGCTGACTCAAACTGAGGCTGACCCCAACGAGAAGAACCCGGAGGAAGCCTGCTTGCGGATCGATACGGGGGCCCCTGACAAACCTCTGCCGTCCCCGAAACCTCCGCTCGTGGCTCCCAAACCTGTACGGCACAGCCTGCTGTCGGCGCAAGGTAACTTGACTCTTGGCACGCTTCCCAAATCTCTGCCGGGTCTCATTTACCACCAGGAAGTCTCTCATCACAAGTGACTTGGAATTCGTTAGACTTGCTGGTGTTTACTGCAGTCTAGAAGTCAGACTTATTGACCATGACGTCACACATTGTTTTAGAGTGGCAGAAGATTAGCATCTCCAACAATGACTTTCGTGTCATTGGAGCCGTTGAGAAAACAGGAAATGGCTTGAATAATAATTTCATGGTGGAATGCCACCTTGACTTCCTCTCACCTTCTGTCAATTGAATGTCACGTGTCGGTCCAAAAGAAGATATTTCGCACGCTAAATAGATTTCAAGGGAGACAAAATGCCAGCCTTAACTTACATTTCAGCAGTTCATTTTATTCGAAAATGACGAAAGTAATGAAAATGACTACCTCGCTGACTTGTCTTTTGCTCGATGAACGGCACAGGCATGACATCTCTCTTAGCACGCAAATGGGATCATCGATCGTTACCTCAGCTCGTGTTAAACTCAAACTGACTAAAAACATCATTTCATACTTGAGAAACCTTCAATATGATAAATCTTCAAGATTTCGTTTTGCGGACCGCCAGAAACGCTTCAGCTCACGTTTGGTCTGACCGCAGCATGTTTTATTCTTGTTCCACAAGCAAAATATTAATCAGAGTGCTGTTTTTTTTTTTTTTTTTAATTCTTGCGTTAAAAATCCATGCATCCATCCATCCATTTTCTGATCCGCTTACCCTCACAAGGATCGCAGGGCGTCCTGGAGCCTATTCCAGCTGTCTTCGGCCAGTAGGCGGGGGACACCCCCAAGGGGTGGCCAGCCCATCGCAGGGCACACAGAGACGAACAACCATCCGCACTCACACGCACACCTAGAGACAATTTAGAGTGTTCCATTAACCTGCCATGCATGTTTTTGGAATGTGGGAGGAAATTGTGGAGTACCCGGAGAAAACCCACGCAGACACGGGGAGAACATGCAAACTCCACACAGGAAGGCCAGAGCCGGAATCGAACCCCGCACCTCTTGTGAGGCCGACGTGCTAACCAGTCGACCACCGGGGCCGCTCTGCGTTAAAAATGTGCGGGTTTATTTCCCTTTTAAGAAAATAGAAAAGAACCCCAAACATAGCACGCTCTTTTCACTTGAGGTCTGCGGTCATCAGTTGCGCTCTCCTCCCTGCCTGTTGTTTACAAACATGATAAAAATGTGTTTTGGGACATGTGACTCATTTTTTTTTCTCTCTGAGACAGCTGGACTCGGGTCTCCAGCGATTAGCGTCAGCGTGGTCCAAAGTCTGGCCTTCGGTGCCGCGTCGCCTCCTTGGTCTCCATCTCGCGGGCCTTCACCGGCGGCGACGGCCCATCGTAGCCCCGCCCCTTCCTCACCGGTGGCCGCCAGAGTCCAGGCTTCGGGAAGTCCAGGTGGTACGGAGGTTGTCCAGCAGAGACTGGATGAGACCAGCACATCTCTGGCGGCGGCCCTCAAGGCCGTCGAGAGGAAGCTGATCCTGGACAGGGACCAGGCTGACGGGTGAGTCCAGGAACTTTCATACTCCCATCTCCACTGGATACAATGAGGGTGGGCATTATGTCTCCCCACCACACCTTCCAAAAACACTACAAAATGTCCGCCTGGCTAATCAAGAGGATCGGTAGTGATTCGGAAGCCAGCCAATGTGTGGTTTGTTTAATCGGCCTCTTTTGTTTGTCTGTTTTTTTTAATGTCTTGGGCTTTGCTCCCAGCAGGGCCAACACAGTCAAGTCAGCAGGAAACATCCTGGATGACATCGGGAACATGTTTGACGACTTAGCCGACCAGCTGGACGCCATGTTGGACTGAAAGCGCCGTTCAAGCAAAAAAAGCACAGGAAGTGACATGACCTCAAACACCAGCACTTAATCAACACGGTGGAACCGCTTTTATTGGGAAGTGCTGACAGGAGTAGGAACTCGACAGCCACTTTTCATTCCGTACCTTCAGCGTGACATCACTTCCGGGTCCAAATATGATGAACACGCAAGTGTTTATTGGAGCAAAACGTTGGCACAGAACCCAGGAGTGCACGTAGGACATAAAACCTCAAAGCTGTACATGCGGTCGCTTCCCGATGGCATTGGTTTGTTTTCCTGTTGTCAAAAATGATGCGAGTGATTTGTGGAAGAAAACACTGGAAAAAATGACAACAAACGGGGAAAAGACGTCCTCCCGCCGTCCAAACATTTCAAAAGTGTTCTTTCCGACTGACGCAAGCGATTTGGAAAAGGAATCGCAGTCGTCGAGTGTCAAGACGGGTTCGATCCTTTCCGTAGGCGTCATCTTAACTCTTTACTCGCCACCATCAATCACTGTGATGATGATTAGCATGCTCGTCCCCAGCGCGGCTAACCCTGTACGATATGTCAATTAGCATGGCAAAGCCTGTTTGCTGTTCATTAGCATGTTTGTGCTTTCACTTTCGTGTGGATGATGTCTTCTACCCTCAGCTAATGTTTCTTCTTAACATGCCTGTTGCGTTAAAGAGTTAAGATGCTGCTCATTTTCAAAGGGAAGCGCCTACTTATATTTTATTGTAGTATTTAAGCTTTATATGACACAGATTGATTCAACCAAAGTCTTTGTACAGATTATCAACATGTTTATATTTCCTGACGTCTTTCTGCACGCCGCTCTTGATCACGTGACCGTCATGTGACCTCGGCCGTCCCGCTCGTGCACGTGTGCAATAGTACTTGCACGTTTTTCCTTTTGATACATCAAATTAATTAAAAGAAAAGATAATTATTATTCCAACTGGCGTGCATCTTGTCGTTAATGTCAGGGTCCACAAAGTATGGCTCAAGGGAACACATGCAGCCTGCTCTGCAGCACTTGTACCATCAATTGTCCAAGAATATTTGTTGCCGAAATTCATCTGTTTTGTTGAAATGGTTTCACTTATTCATCTCCTTTTAATTATTGGTTAATCCATTTCTAATACCAAGTGAAAGAACAAGATGGCAGATACAAGTGACGAAGAATGATTTCCTCCGCAAGGTATCGGCCAAGAAGCTCGGCCATATTGAATATTGATATATTGAACCCCCATGTGCAAGCTCAGAGCACCGTGCTTCACTGTGCAATATCGCACCCGTTGGTTTCGGTAAATCCTCCCCCTTCCTTCTGACCACTCGACAAGAACAATTTTCCAGTTTGACCCGCAGGATGCAGACTGGAAACAACCACAAGGCAAGCCCTGGACCCGATGGCTCGACATTGCAGGTGAGATGGAGTTGCTATACTATTTATAGCGATATAGATATCTATATAGATATGTATCTATGTAGATATCAAAATCTCTCTATAGATAGATCAGTATATCAATCGCGTGAGAGATAGCGATAGGTATGAATATTCAGATAATGGATGGATGAATATATTTGTATGTAACCCTCTCATGCATAATTATGATCACCGATACTGTATCAGGATTATTTTTTTTTTGTATATATGTTTTTTTAAGATTCGTCCGTATAAGATGACAGCGACTTTTCAAAAGCTGTCCAACGTAGTGACCGCTGTCCTGGAAAGGGATACATTTATAAATCCGAGCAGCAAGCCCGCCTTCCGAGTCTGGGAAGTCACGTGAGCTTCCGTATTGCGTTTCCGGTATATGAAGAGGGGGCCCCGCCCACTAAACGCTTCTTAATTTTGTTTCCCCTTGCTCACCTGCGTGACTCCTGTCTGCGTCGCCGCCTCTGGCAACTCAAACGCCGAAAGGAAGTAAACGAGCGAGGAAAGGTGAGAAGGACCGGGGAACCTCGAAACAAATCAAATGGCGACGTGTCAACTTTGTTCTGACAGCTTGTTTTCCCTCGATGCACTAAAATACTGGCGAATGTCAAGTAGTGAAGAAATGGAAGCTAAAGTGTCATTTGGCTTACTTTTGGCGAGCAAAAAGTGACCTTTGGGCCGAGTTGGCCTTTGATTTGTGCGTGGGTGCGGTGGTCGAATGTTTCGAATGACGTCATGACAGTGACTCGGACTTTTCCAGTGAGATTCATTTATCTGTTGTTTCCAAATCGACTAAGTATAACTGTCATAGTTTCGGCGCCTACGTGAAATTGGAATAAATCTAATGAAATAAATTGTTTGGGTCAATCGCCAACCCGGAAGAAGGTGTGGACACAAACACGCTGGTCAGGTTTGTGCGCGTGAACGTGTGAAAAAGTTGAAACGTTTTGAAATGAATTGCTTCCGTGTATATTTGTGACGACGTTGTTAATCCATGTGCTCTGCAGCAGGAGGAATGTTTTGCTTGAATTTATTTTCTGCAGTTTGTGCTAGTGGTCGCTCTGTAATTGGCTGCCGTCGACATATCATTTGATTAGGTTCCGCCCCTTGACTGCATCATAGACTTGATCTTCGATGAGGGCTACTCTATTTGAATGGTCGTCACAGAAGAAAATCTAACTTTGGTCTATGTTAGGGTAATTTGTGATCGACTTCAGACTTCCAATTTATACTAGTGTTGACTGTTTATCTGGCGGTGAGTGGGCATGTCCGTTTAAAGTTCAAGTCCCATAGCCTGGTTGTCAATTGGCCACTCCTCAATCTTCAGCATCAATGTCCTGTGTCTGAGTGCGTGCGTGTGTTTGAATAGTTGTTTGTCTATGTATGCCCTGCGTTTACTTGACAACCAATTCAGGGTGTACCCTGCCTACTCCCGGAAGACAGCTGGGATAGTCTCCTGCATGACCGCGATCCTCGTGAGAATAAAACAGCTCTGTTGATGGATGGTTGTGTGTCTGTGTGTGACCCATGCATGCGCATGGGCGCGTCTGTGGTTACCAATCTTGCCACATTCCTACCTACACCCAAGACACACAAAAAATCCATTTGTAAGCCTGGTCACTTTCTTGACTGATTGCGTAGCAGTTGACATCATGACAAAGGGTTGCAAAATTCCACTTTGAAAAATTTGGGTAAGATGTGAGCTCCAGGTACGCTACCGTGTAAAAGAGTACTGGTATGCCCTTGCATGTGGGCATAGAGAGGCATCTAATTGGTCTCAATGTCTGCTTAGGCCGGAACAAAGTGCTTCCGTGAATGCTGGAATGTCGTGTTGTACCTTGACATCAAATTCCCACGAAAGGTTTCCGACTTGGAGTATTCCCATAATGGTCAAAATGCTGTCTTCGATTCCTATGGGAATTTTCTGGCAACTTTGCAGCCGTTTGCGAGTGTCCTCATGACTGATGACCTCATCAGGTCTTTAGCCTGTTGTTGGCGTGATGTTCAAGAATGCTGCAAGTAGCGCGTTCGAGATGGGCGTCCCGGTGGACGCGTCCATCATCCGGATTCCGCCTCACCACTACATCCACGTGCTGGACCAGAACACCAATATCGCCCGGGTGGAGATTGGACCGCAGACCTATTACCGCCAGGACAATGAAAGGTCAGCGGCCGCGCCCACGCGGTGGCACGCCACACCCATGCATTCTTCTAACATCACGTGACCCGGGCAGGGTTCTGTTCGCGCCCGTCCGGATGATCATGGTGCCCCCGCGCCACTACTGTGTGGTGGTGAACCCGGTAGCCTGCGATGACAACGGCCGTGTTCTGTTTGACGGATCAGGCCAGGCCAAGCTCAGGCACGCCGACCTGGACATCCGCCTCACCCGGGATCCATTCCCGCTTCACCCCGGGGAGGAGCTCCAGCAGGTGGGAGTGCACACCAAGGCCCGAATGCTTTCAGATGAAATGTTCCTCAGAAATTGTCAGATCCAAACATCCGACTTGTGCTGCAAAAGCTTAGCTAGTGAGAAAAATCAGAAATGGGTAGTTGCACACCGGTGTAACAAGTTTGTTTGCTTGTGTTCAGGACGTGACCCCCCTGCAGGTGGTTTACCCAGACACAGCCCTCCGTCTGCAGGCGCTGCTCGACTTTCTGGACGATGGAGAACAGCGCGTGGCGGGAGACGAGTGGCTCTTCGAGGGGCCCGGTGAGTGCCGGCATACGCAGGTTTTGGGAAAGTTGACGTCGTTGGACATCGTCGGCATCATTTTCTTCCTCTTTCTCATCAGGCACGTACATTCCGAGAAAGGAGGTGATTGTCCTGGAAACCATCAAGGCTACGGTGATCGGCGAGAACCAGGCCATACGACTGCGAGCGCGCAAAGAGGGCATCGACCGCGGGGGCAAGCACCGCGTTACGGGTGGGACACGCCTCCTTCCTTCTGCCGCACTCCCTGTTTGTTTGTGGCGGCCTCTCATTGGCTACCATGTGGCCTTTTGCTTTCCAAAACCTGACTTGGAGTGCGTGTAATGTTCAGGTGAAGAGTGGCTGGTCAGCAAGGTGGGCGCGTACCTGCCAGGTGCCCACGAGGAGGTTATCGACATTGTCAACGCCTTCATCCTGACAGACAAGGTGTGATTTCCTGCGTTCTCAAAGTTAGCAGTGTCTTGTCCAGAGAAACCAAGACAAGGAAATTCTTTGCTCCATAATGAGATTTATTTCAGCTACAGTTGATGAAGAAACACAATTTACAGATCTGTGACAGAGCCGGCTCCCCAAACGGTGGGACGCGAGCCATTTTTTCTTCTAGGGAGGGATTGAAGGGTAAAACAAAACCTAAACGTACCATATTGGCCCGAATATAAGACGGTGTTTTTTGCATTGAAATAAGACTGAAAAAGTGGGGGTCGTCCTATATTCGTGGTCTAGACATTATACCCATTCGCGACGCTAGATGGCGCCAGATATCATTGAAGCGAATGCTGAACCTGACTCCCCAGGCCAAAGTGAACCCCTGTCACGAAGAATAAAAATAAAAATAGCGGTAGCACGAAGAAGAAAAATAAAAAATTGCAGAAAGAAAAGAGAAGAAAATAATAGAAGAGAACAGAAAATGGAGAAACGTAGCGACAATCTGGAGAAAAGTGGGTCGAACATCGGCCACGTTAACTGGCAGCTGAGGAGAAGTTATGATGTAATTTACATTTCAAAAACCAGAAACCATTCATTTACGAATGAGATTTCACTTTAGTTTACATATTTAAATGTTCAGATATTAAGATTTGAATGAGGCAAAATAACATGCTTTTTCTCTCAAATATATTGTTAGAATCATTTGTTTCAGATGTACTGTAATTTCTGTATGAAAATTAATTTGGTGTTCAAAAAGTCTTTTTTTCAAACTTGAGTCTTGAAAAAGAGGGGGTGGGTCGTCTTATAATCAGGGCCGTCTTATATTCGGGCCAATACGGTATTCCTAATATGGTTATGTTATTAAACAATACTTCATTGTCATTGGTTATACGTATTTGAAAGAAAAGAAAAGTGTGCCCCTCTCTTGATATCTGTCTGCTCATCCTGTTTTGCATCTTCATGTCTGAACCACAGGACAAACCACAATCTTGCACACAGCGAACTTGCACCCACTCTTAAAGACAGCAGGATGTGTGATAGAAGTTAACACGGTTAATTATAAAATACAAGATGACACTGTAAAATATAACATTTCATTCAGCATGCATCTGACAGTGTGGCCCCCGCCCGTCTTTCAGAAAGCGCTGCACGTGCGCGCCCTTCGACTTTTCCGCGACGCGGGGGGTCACGAGCGTCGCACAGGCGAAGAGTGGCTGGTGACCAATGAGGACCGCGAGGCTCACGTGCCGTCGGTGGCGGAGGAAGTGGTGGGCGTGGTCAACGTCACCACACTCAGCACGCGCCAGTATTGCGTCATCCTGGACCCGGTCGGGCCCGACGGGAAACCTCAGCTGGGTCAGAAGAGGGTTGTCAAGGTGAGTCGGGAGGGGTGGCCAAGATGGAGTCATTTTCTGGGCCCTAATTCATGGGTCTGTAGTGTGAAGTAGGCTGTCATTTCAACTATGTGGTTTGAAAGTCAGTTGAAAAAAAAATTGCAATAAATCCATACAAGTCTGAAAGTACTTGCTGTTTATATAATGTCCACCAGGGGGAGCGCTCTTTCTTCCTTCAGCCGGGCGAGCGTCTGGAAAAAGGAATTCAGGATGTGTTTGTCTTGTCTGAAGAGGAAGGCCTTGTCCTGAGAGCCATTGAGGCCTTCACTGACACCCAAGAGGTAAGCACCAATACAAAGGTCAACACCATCGGGGCCCCCCGCCACTTCGGGGTCACCCGCCGTCTCGTCTGATGCTCAAAGCGGCCATGTTTTGTTTGTAGGACGACATCTCAGTTGTCTTGCCTCAAAGGCAAAAGCGTAAACATGCTGCTGAGGTATTTTTGTGCAATCAAAAAAAGTTCACTGGGAGCGAAACGAGGGTGACTTCCTGTCTGAGGTGTTCGCACCCCCACCCTCTTCTCCCCCTCCTGCATGTCACACGACCCTTCCCGCTCACCATTTTCCTCCCTGCTTCTCCAGTCCTCCCCCTTATCCTCCCCGCCCCGCCTCCCTTCCCCACGCATCAGCTCGCTAACCCTGGTCTCCGCCCTCCTCCGGCCCCTGCCCCGTTCTCTCTGCCAGCGCGAGGAAGCGGACCCCGAGCAGGAAGAGGAAGAGGGCGAGCGCAGCAAGCGTCGGCGTCACAGCGCCGTCCCCCGCCGCCCCGGCGACCGCTGGATGCTGCGAGGACCCATCGAGTATGTGCCCCCCTCCCAGGTGGAGGTGTTGCTCAAGCGCCAGGCCATCCCGCTGGACGAGCATGAGGGAATCTATGTCAGGGATATCAAGAGCGGAAAGGTAACCCACCCCCCCAACAAAAAAAAAAAAAGTCAGGGAATTACAAGTGCAACAAATAAGTGATTAGTCTGATCAAATTATTCAACCACAATTATGATAATCAGTGAAATGTTGAGAGACCTCGCTGAGTTTCAAATTGTCCAAATCTCGAAATGTCTTTTTTTTTTTTTTTTTTTAAAAAAAAAACCTTCCCCCCCCCCCCCCCTCAAAAAAAAAAGTTGAGCTAAACCTGCTCATTCAATTCTAAAATCTTTGGAACAAATCTTCGAAGCTGAAAATTTTGAATGAAACATTCTTGAAGCAGGCGAAATGTTTGTACACAAATCCTGAACTGTTAAGAAATAAGAACACAACAAAATTGGTTCCAAAATTTCCTTTCGGTCTTCAAATTGGCGCTTGGGGTTCACGACATCATTTGAGATAAAAAAATTGAAAATCTGCAGACCGCATTAGCCTTCAAAAAGTTTGGGCTCACACGGACAATTTCGATGTCACATGCAGCCGTCCGCTCACCCGCCGACTCGTTGCGTGTCAGGTGCGCGCCGTGATCGGACAGACGTACATGCTGACCCAGGATGAGGAACTCTGGTCCAAGGAGCTCCCCGCCAACGTGGAGGCCCTGCTGGCGTCCCCCAAGGACCCGCTGGCCGACCGCTCCAACCGTAGAAAGACCCTGAGCGAGGAACCGGAGAGCAGACCTCGGGACAAGACCTTGGTGGTCTCCTTCAGGGTCCCACACAACGCCGCCGTTCAGGTCTATGACTACCGGGCGAAGAGGGCCCGCGTGGTCTTCGGACCCGAGCGTGTCATGCTGGGGCCTGACGAGCAGTTCACCGTCCTGTCGCTGTCCGGCGACCGGCCCAAACGGAGCAACGTCATCAAGGCCCTCTGCCTTCTGCTCGGACCCGACTTCTTCACGGACATCATCACCATAGAAACCGCCGACCACGCCAGGCTGCAGCTGCAACTCTCCTACAACTGGTACGTGTGCCACAGCGTGTGTTTGTGCGTGCGTGTGTAACGTGCCGCTGTCATCCCATCAGGCACTTTGATGTGAAGCCGCCCGTGGATGCCAATGAGGCTGCCGCTCTCTTCTCGGTGCCGGACTTTGTGGGCGACGCCTGCAAGGCTATCGCGTCGCGGGTTCGCGGTGCCGTCGCCTCTGTGCAGTTTGACGACTTCCACAAGGTCTGGTTCCGCTTCTCGTCTGCGCCTTTGTGTCGCGCTCTCTACACAAGTCAGATAGCCTCGAGAGAAGCGGTGGTCTTGCTGGAGGATGGCGAATGAGTGAAAATCTGCCACAAGGCAACTCCTCAAATGTTTGTAATTGCCTTTCGTTACCACAAGGGGGCGTTCATTTGCACTCAATTTAATTTGGCACAGCATCAGCTCTTCCTGACTTCCTTCCCTCCTGGCCACGCACGACAAGAGATTGCTGCCTGGCTGGCTCGCTACTCTTGTCCTGTACTGGACTCCAACTCTTACATAACCTTCTCCTCTTTTCTCTGTCCATCCTCACTCAAATCTCGCCGCATTCCCACTAAATATTCATCACGCAATATAATACTGAGACGATGTCAAAGCGGCCGTGACGCGACGAGGCGGACAGATTGGGCGTTGTCCCAACCGACATTCCGCTTCCCCTTTTGGCAGAACTCCAACCGCATCATCTGCTCGGCCGTGTTTGGCTTCGACGAGAAGCTGGCGGTGCGGCCCAGTCTCCGCTTCCACCAGAACCGACTGGTCATCAGCAGCGTGGATATCCAGTCTGTGGAGCCCGTTGACCAGCGCACGCGCGACGCTCTGCAGAAAAGCGTCCAACTGGCCATCGAGATCACCACCAACTCCCAGGAGGCCGCCGCCAGGTGACCAGAATTGCTCCCCAGCGCCCTTTCTGCCGGTCACTTTATGTCACTGACATAGATAGATGAGCAGAAACGCAGTTCTTGGAGTCAGGGAATCATTTTCGAAGTGATGAAGTCAACTTTGATCATTGTGGTTGGGAACTCTCTCAGGCATGAAGCCGAACGTCTGGAGCAGGAAGCTCGCGGGAAGCTGGAGCGGCAGAAGATCACCGACCAGGCGGAGGCCGAGCGAGCCAGGAAGGAGCTCCTGGAGCTGGAGGCCCTCAGGTGCCTTCCTCTTCCTCTCGCCGTCACTCCTTTCCCGCCGCCCGTCCGCGTTCTCATTTTTTGTTCCGTCTGCATTGCGCGCCAGTGCCGCCGTGGAGAGCACCGGCGCAGCCAAAGCTGAAGCCCAGTCCCGAGCCGAGGCGGCTCGCATCCAGGGCGAGGCGGCCGTCCACGAGGCCAAACTGAAGGTCGAGGCTCAGCGCATCGAGGCGGTACGTCACCTGCCCGTCGCCATTGTGACACGTTCATGTGCATGCGTCACACTCGTGCACACCCACTTTCATGCTAAACACAACATTTTTGATATCTTGGGCCCGTTTGGGGTCAACTTTCAGGTTGACCCTCAAATGCAGTCCAATCTTTACAGGTCAGTTCAAGTTGACCTCGTGTCAACTTTTGAACGTTTGAGTAGTTTTTGCACACCTAGAACAAGGAGCCGACGAGCACAAGAGGTGTTTGATCCATGAACGTTTCCACAGACATCCACCTGTGTGCCTTTCTGTGACTCCTCCAGTCTCTGTTGCAACCTGGTGACGATGCTGTGACACTGAGCCCAGTAGCCAACATCCTGTTCCCGAGCCCTGTGCTTTGTTGGTCAATTGTTAGACATCTCGGCGGTGTGCAAATGTCAACAGTCGTCAAAACGGCGATTCCCGCTCAGACGCGCGTGTGCTTCCAGGAGGCGGAGCTGGATCGGCTGGCCAAGGCTCGTGAGCAGGAGCTGATCTACAGGAAGAAGATGGATCAACTCGAGGTGGACAAGCAGGAACAGCTCGCCAACATCGAGAGCGAACGCTTCCGCCAGCTCGTCAGCAGTCTGGGCAGCGATACGCTCGCCGAGATGGCGCGTGCCGGACCTGAGCTGCAGGTATGGCCGTTGTCGTCACCATCATTGTGTGAATTCGCCACGCCGTTGCCATTGGCTGCAGTTACATGACCGCCCCATTCATCTCGCGTGTAGGTGAAAATGCTGCAGGCCCTCGGCCTCAAGTCCACCCTCATCACGGACGGCTCCTCCCCCATCAACCTCTTCACCACCGCCAACGGCCTGCTGGGGGCGCTGCCAACGCCTTCCCAGTGACTCCGCGGGGGAAAAGCAAGGAGCACGTTTCTTTGAAAGCGACCAGAGCAAAATCAAATATTCACTCATCAAAACTTGCGCAAATCCATCAAAATAGAGGAGAATATCACATACGCACTATAAGCACCTTTCTCCCTGTGTGAAGATAATAAATCATATGCAAAAATGCGTGTCTGTGCGACCAAAGATTATTTTTTTGTTTAATGTGATGAGAGTGCAAGTTGAGAAATTGATATCGCGCCAGTATTTTATTTGATATTGTAAAAAATAAATAAATAAATCGTAATAATAATAATTCTCAGCCCCCATGTATCGGTCGAGCCCCCTTTTATCCACTGGAGAGAAGCACTCCTGGAGCCATGCCTGGCAAGCGGCGTTGGCAATAGCCGAAGCTAGCAAGACTAACCGTTATCATCCGCACAAGCATTTCCTTGCATCCATTTTGTAAGTAGTGCTTCTTTCTCCCTACCCTGCCCCACTTAGAGACACACACACACACACACACACACATACTGTAGAGTCCCCCGCCGCCGCTGCCAGGTCTTTGAATAATTGATTGCAGTAATGTGAAATGGCCGAGTGGATATCGTCTCTGCATCCCGCCCTCCTCTCGGTCCCATCTGACGGTTGCCGTGGCAACGCGCTCAGTTCCTTGCCAGACGCTGCGTTTCAATCTAATTATCATCAATAATGAGATTTGATCGCCAGTTGCATGTAAAGACAGCTTTATTTTGAAATCTTATAAATGTGCGCATGCACTGATAGGCCATAATATCGTGACGCAGCTGAGCGGGCGGTACCAAAGAGAATAGAAATACAAAAATACGAAGGTCACGTGTCAAAAAAATAAAAGTAGCACAAACGGTGTGGCCGTGGACACGTTTGAACATTTAGAAACGGATTTTTCAATTAAAATCATCTCGAGATAAAAATGTGAACAAAGCAAAAAGTAGCAGCATTTTTTTGCATTTAATCATGACAAATCCACATGTTGCCAAAAACAGTTTTGGTAATCTTGAAAACTGCCATGTTAACGTCAGGTTAGCTTCAAGTCGGAATTTGTTTAAAACAATCTTGTGGCAGACGGAATTTTTCGAGCACGGGAGGCAAAATACATCAAGATTTCATGATTGAAGATTCAAGAGTTCAAAATTAGAGAAGATCAAAATCAAAATGTAAACAAGTCAATGAAAGCCTTAAAACATTTGTTCGATCAAAACATCCTGCTCACATTTTCGGCTGCAAAAACTGAAAACGACGAAGTTACCGTCAAGTCGGTAAACCGTGCGGCAGGCGAACTTGTTGGTCGGACACCATTTTCATGCGCACACAAGACCAAACTGCGCCAATGTTAGCTGAGGTTAGCTCGATGGCGCTAGTGGTTGGTTAGTAAATTTTTTATTAGTAAACCAGCATGCGAATTATAAGTATAACCATTAATCGATTCACAAATTATTCAACAACTATTTTGATAATCGAGATGTTCTCTGATTTCTTGAGCCCTCCATGAAAGCAGACTGATTGGCTTTGTTTTTTTAAAAGCGAGACATTTGCAAACATCGGCTTTCCATCCATTGTCGAATAAACCAGAACTGAGTCAGAATCAATTGATGTTTCTGCATTTTCTGCACAGGCAATTTTGCAATCATGTTTTGGACGAATGGAACAGAAATTTGATCAAAACATTGATCTGATTTATCAATCAACAGAAGAATCGATGATCAAAATAATTGTTCGTCACTTTAACTTATTTCCAAAGTGCTACCGAAAGAAGGCCATGTGACAAAGTGTCACAGGTTGTAAACATGCAGCATTACACGAGATTCGTCGGTGACCTAAGCGTGTCCGCCAACATGTGACGGGCGCTCGCCACGGTAACAGACGGCACAAACAGGCTTTTGTAAACTTTTAAGTGCAAAAAAATAATAAATGCTTGTTTGGGTTGCTTTGGTCGGTCATGCAGATGTTCCCCACCGCTAACATAGAGGAATGCTGTTGGTCTCCATGGCAACAAGAGTTCCCATGGCGGAGGTAGAACATCGGGGGACATGCTCGTCGTGCAGGGACTGGAAGTCGGCGGCGGGGGCTGTGGGGCGGCGTTCTCCAGACGGGAGGCGGCACCGATGTGTTATCCCGATTTCAAAATCACTGTGGGAATAAAACAAAACAAATTGTCAGGCTGTGTTTGAAATCCTTCACTCATTCTCATGCTACTCCTCTTGGCATGCCTGCATTGGCCACCTGAGGGCAGTATAATACAGTCCGACAGACACAAACAAAGAGTCACCGATACTCTCCTTGACTCAGCGAGGTGCAAGAATATTGGTCGTTTTTCACTGAGGATAAAGAATATATGCAAGTGAGCATGGTTATATTTGTATTTGCTCATATTTCCCAATTGGAAATATGTGCCTTGGCTCAGTAAATGTTGGGAAACATTCACCTAAAGGGCCATCATGCCGACAGCTAATTGTCGTTGCTAATTGTTACCTTGTCTATGTGTTATTTTCATGATCTGAAATCCGAACCACCCGCAAGTGGCCAATGCACGACATAGTGACTTCTGAGTGATTTGGATGCCAGGCATCAAATGTACAACCTAAGCTTAAAAAGTGTCTTACATTCGCGGTTGAGCACGATGGCGGCCACGATGATGGCGATGCCTCCCAAGATGGCCACCACAGACAGCACCATGGCATTACGGCCCAAACGGCGGGCGCCGTCCACGTTCCCCTGCAGCAGGCTGTTACGAGACTGAAACAACAGTGTGGTGTGAGGCCTTCCATCCATCCATCCATCCATCCATCCATCCATCCATCCATCCATCCATCCATCCATCCATCCATCAGTCGATTTTCTGTTTTGCTCCTCTTGCTCAGGGTTGTGGAGAGCCTGAGCCTACCGTCGCTGACTTGGTCCAAAAGGCACAATGAGTTGTTGGACTGCCAGTTGTAATAGAGTTTCATGATCTTAGGAGCTAAGCTGACTGGGGCTTTTTGCCCCTGGCAGAGTAATCACAGGGTTCCCACGGGACCTTAAAGTTCATAAAAATCCAGAAAAAAGAAGTAAGATTATGTTCTTAATTGTCCTTAATTTTCATTGAAAGCTTCTAAAATGAATAAAAATCCTTAAAAATTAACCTGTGGCGTTCATTTCATTTGTGGATGTCATTTTCCCCACCCTTCCAATTAATCGTTTTGTCGGAAAATGCACCTGGCGCCCTTCCCCTCAAACCCTGTTGTCGGGCTCCATGCCTTCCTGGTTCCCGCTCTACCTATCCCGTCGTCTCCGATCAGTTCCGATGATGATCATGTGATCACTTCGGGTCATTTCGGGCCAATTTGACATACAGGATGTCAAAAAAGGGTTAGCTGATTGCCCCTAAAAATAAAGATGTGCCATTCTTTTGGCAGCAATGATTTGAATACCAGCTCAGTGATTTGTGCCTTTCTGTTCATTAAATCCACCGTGAATCCCCAGCTGAATAGAGAAAAAGTCCTTAAAAATGGCTAAATTTGCCCTCAAAAGTCCTTAAAAAGCTCCATAAATAAAAAATCAAGTGGAAGAGTGGGAACACTGCTCTACATTGTTCTTAGGTGTCAGTGTGAGCGCAAAGAGGATGAGAAAATGGATGGCTACACGTTTTTGGAAACCTACGAAGGTACGGGTAGAACATGCAAACTCACACCGAACAGCCAGAGCCGGACTCGAACCCTGCATCTCCGCAGCACAATGCCGACGCATTAACCACTCGACTACCAGGCAGGGAATGAATGGTCTCAATTGTTCTTCGGTGTGAATGTGAATAGTTGCGCTGGTAAGCGCAGCATAAAATGGATAGCCATGCATGTTTTTGAGAACACACAGGAAGGCTGAAGAGGGAATCGAAACCTGCACCTCCGCGGTGCAACGTCGATGCACAAACCATTGTCATTCCAGGTAGGTCATACACTTTACATTGTCCCTATATAAGATCGTTTCTTGAAATGTAACTACATGGAAAGCAAGGCTTTTTTTTGTAAAGTTATTTTTTAAGTATAAGAAGGCATTTTTCACAACAACAACAAAAAAACAACCATGTAGTGTAAGGCATTTTTTACAGTCCAAAAAAATGACGATGTACAGTATAGTAAGGCGGTTTTGGCCAAAAAAAACGACCATGTATAGTAAGGCGTTTTGGGCTGAAAAAAACGACCATGTATAGTAAGGCGTTTTTGGCCGAAAAAAAAAACGACCATGTACAGTAAGGCGTTTTGGGCCGAAAAAAACGACCATGTATAGTAAGGCGTTTTGGGAAGGAAAAAAACGACCATGTATAGTAAGGCGTTTTGGGCTGAAAAAAACAACCAAGAATAGTAAGGCGTTTTTGGCCAAAAAAAAACGACCATGTATAGGATGGCGTTTTGGGCCGAAAAAAACGACCATGTATAGTAAGGCATTTTTGGCCCGAAAAAAACCGACCATGTATAGTAGGGCCTTTTTGGCAGAAAAAAAAACGAGGTATAGTTAGGCATTTTTGGCCCGAAAAAAACCGACCATGTATAACAAGGCGTTTTTGGCAGAAAAAAACGACCATGGATAGTAAGGCGTTTTTGGCCCGAAAAAAAAGACCATGTAGAGGAAGGCGTTTTGGGCCGAAAAAAAATGACCATGTATAGTAAGGCGTTTTGGGCCGAAAAATACGACCATGTATAGTAAGGCATTTTTGGCCGAAAAAAAATGCCCATGTATAGTAAGGCGTTTTGGGAAGGAAAAAAACGACCATGTACAGTAAGGTGTTTTTGGACAAAAAAAAACGACCATGTACAGTAAGGTGTTTTTGGACAAGAAAAAACAACCATGTATAGTAAGGCATTTTTGGCCGAAAAAAACGACCATGTATAGTAAGGCGTTTTTGG